AAAAAATGCAATCACCTTTCTTTTTGCTTTTTGAGTTTTTGTCTTCATTTATCTGGAACATTGAAGCTGGTTCCTTCTTCTTGTCTTTTTCCTTTGACTTGGATTTTTTTTCTTTTCCATCAGAATCTTTGTCATCTAAGGAAAAAAAGTATATAGTTTAATAAAAATGTTGTCTATTCTTAAATGTGATAACCTGAAGAATTGGAAGCACACACTGAGAAATGTAACAAAATGTAAATTCCCTTGCAGAGTGTAGAGAGTAATCTTAGTGAGCACTATGGTGTGAGTTCCAAAAAATGCAAACTGTTATCAGTTAAGTCAACAAAGATTTATGTGTGAGACAGATGTGTAGCAACAGAACTAACTTGGAGCATGCCATCTTGACTCCGTGTGGATTCAGTTTAAAATCTGCTCTCGTTGCTTCTTCCAGCTGTGTTGCCAGATTCGGACAGCATGCGAATGTGAGAGTGACTAGGGCTCAGCTTGGATCCACCCGAATTTAGATGTTAAGCTTCCATTATAGTAGTACCTTTTATTAATTTTCAGAGTTAAGGAAAAGCTGATGAAGCAAACTGGGACGCAGACGACATATTTTAGCCCTCAGTTTGTTTACCTTCATAGGATCCAAGCTGCTAAAACAAGGAGTGTATAACTGGGAGGACATCAAAGTGAAGTGAAGGATTTGAACAAATTCCTTGCGCAAATCTGTGGAGCAAATTTCTCAGAACCTCGATTACACTCGTAACACTCTCAGTGCTTCCTCTTAAAACGTTTTCCACAATGACGAATTTGTCCCAACATGCCCTCACGTTTAGACTTACTCCCGTTTAGACTGCTAAAAGTTGTTAGTCCTCCCTGAATGTTTTTGGCAGTGTTGAACTTTGGGGATTAAAAATACATAGTTAAACATCCGCTAAGGTATGCACTGCTACACTGGTAAAAACCTTTCTAACTCCCTGCCAAGTAAATTACAGAGTAACATTAGCATTCACTTAAGAGTTAAGTTTACAGTTACCTAATATTTACTCTCTTTTAACTGTCTACTGTATCTTGAGGATAATATCTGGCTGTTTGTTTTTTTTTCTTTTTAAATCTCCACTATTTTCACTATTCCTGTTGTTTGTGACTGAGCAAGAGTGCACAGTGAGTTTTAGAGCTGTCAAGGAAAGCTGACAACAGGACAACCAGAACAAAACTATTAAAGCTGCAAGCAGAAAAAACACAATGAGGTGAAAGGTGACGAAATGCTTTGGAGAGCATTTTGAGATTGATCACATAAGTAATTGTGTGGCCAATCTTCTATTATAAATACTGTATCTCATGCAGAGATTTGAGCCAATAGTTCATTTCTGCAATCAAAGAATGAGTCCTGCTAAAACCAGCTCACTGCAAAATTCTTGACAAACAGGTGAGTTAGAGCGCTTTGGGAATAATTATAGCAACATCATTTCCAAATATCTTATGCTCAGATTCACTGAGCAAATAAATGAAGGGAACAGAAGCAAAGACTGGTGGGAGAAGGTTATAAGCGCCCTTAGTAAAGTATTCATGATTACACCTTAACATGTTCACAGTGTCAACATGCTCAGGGGTTTCATTCTGTGTCATGTTTACCATCTTAGTTTAGCACGTTCACATTTATTAACAGCAAAAAAGACAAAGTACAGGTAGAGTATATTTAAGTATAGTTAGGAGAAATCATGTCAAAAGTCCAGACATTTTATAAAGCACTACAATGAATAGCTAAAGATTTAGTATTGAAACATATAGAGTATGTCTGTGTATATTCTCAGTCAACCAGGTCATGGTAATCTTGAATGACTGAAAAGACGGAAACTGGACATCTTTTCAGATTGTATGTTTTTCCTCTCACCTTCTGTAAGAGGCTTCTTCAGTTCTAAAATAACTGAGGAAGCCTACAAGTAGGGCTGGGCCAT